CCCCCCCACGCACCGCATCCCCGGTTCCCGCCTGCTCCGATGGGCCTCATCGATCGCGTCCTCGCGGGAACAGTGGGCGATTAAGCGCGGCCTTTAATAGATTGCTGGTATTAGTTATGGATTTGCACGCCCCGAAATCCACTTAGGGACCCCCGATGCGCCAGCCCTCAGCGCCCGTAGGCATTGCTAATGGGCAAGTCTTCGGTGATCTTCAAATCCGTCTGCGCGTCTCCCTGTATTTAGAGACGGATGCTAATGTTCGAGTCCTTCTGCCGCCCGTAAAACTTTCCGGCTGTTTGCGGAACGGTTCGTGGCCTTATTTTTATTTTTAATCTTCACCTGGGGATATTTTTTCCATTGATTTTTAGAGGGAGAGTGGAAGGGAGGGAGGCGGGGGGGGAGAAAGAGAGAGAGAGAGAAACGTCAACGTGAGAGAGACACACCCATGGGTTGCCTCCCGAAGGTGCCCCAACCTGGGCAGGGGATGGCACCGGCAACCGAGGTTCGTGCCCGTGGTTGAAATCGAACCCGAGACCCTTTGGTTGCAGGCTGATGCACTAGCCACTGAGCCAAACTGGCCAGTGCTGGGTGAAGAATTTTGAATTCCACAGAGTCCACCTCGATTCTTGTTTCCACGTGGTCTTCCTTGATGCTTCTCCAACCGGCGGCTGCCCTCACGGTGCCCGCGGGGCAGTGAGGAAGGAGGGTCACTTTCTGCTCTCCCACCCACAGGCATCGTCCGGAGTTGTTTGCTCATTGGCTCAGGCACCAAATATTGACTGTTTCACGTCAGGGCGTGTGTCTAGATAGGAGCACGGTGCCCCGTGCTTACCCACGGCTCCCGTGGGAGCCACGTGTCCGTCCATCCCCAAGTCTCCCTGATGCCGTAGGTGCTGCCAAGGTCTTCTTTCGATTCCCAAGTTCTCCCAGGAGTCTGAAGTGGGTGCGTCCCTGAGTCTGGCCCTTGGCTCGTTTCATCCTGTCCCTCCGCAGCTCAGGTGACAGGCCCTGGGGTGCCACTGGTCCCCGCTGCTGCTGTGTACACAGGTCCCCTCCCGCTTCTCGCATTCAAGTCCCGCTTCTGACGTCTGTGATCCTCAGAGAGGGGGTTTTAGGTGGGTGCATCCAAGCTCCACCCTCCCCGAATTCCTCCAGCTGTTACTCTTTTATTTTATGTTCAAAAATTGTATTTGCTTTTGTTTTTTCAATTTATCTTTATTGTTGAAAGTATTACGGCTGTCGCCCTTTTTCCCCCATTGACCCCTCCTCCCCAGTCCAGGCCTTCCCCACACGATTGTCTGTGTCCATGGGTTACGCACAGATGCATAGAAGTTCTCTGGTTAATCTCTTGCCACCCGCCCCCTCTTCCCTCTGGGATTCGTCAGTCTGTTCCATGCTCCCGTGTCTCTGGATCTAATTTGTTCTTTAGATTCTACCTATGAGTGAGATCATGTGGTACTTGTCTTTCTCTGACGGGCTTATTTCACTCAGCATAATACTCTCCAGGTCCCTCCATGCTGCCCCAAAGGGTATAAGATCCTTTTTCACAGCTGCATAGTATTCCACGGTGTCAATGTACCCCAATTTTTTTATCCACTCACCTACGGATGGGCACTTGGGCTGTTTCCAGATCTCAGCTATTGTAAATAAAGCTGCCTTTAGTCTTTTAAGGAATAGGATGCTGCCAGGTGGGCGTGTGCTGTGAGGACAGCCACGCAGGATGGATGCATCCCCTTCCTGGGGTCATTGGCTCTGACCTCTTAGCCGGCACCCACAGCGGCCCCGGCCGTCGACCTCCTGCTCCTTGTGCTGTGAAAAATTTGCCTGCATTTCTGTTTCCCCTTTAAAAAGCTACATTTGTAGCTAATTTTAGAAAGACTGTGGCACTGGACATGTGATCTTCATGCAACACTTGCCTCTTCAGGGCTCCCACGGAGAACCTAATCGCAGGGCCAGCCTTCCATAAAGAGAGCGGGGCAGGTGGCGGGGTTTTCATTTTTCTAAACAGAACCTACATTCTGGTCTAGGGTCTAAACAAAAGGTCATTTCTGTCCAAGGACAAGGAAACGTTTGTTTGGAAACAGACTCCTAGGAAACAGGATACAATGTTTCGCCAGGCGATGTCTTTGACACTATGTCTCTGGAGACCTGTCTGCAGTCTGACACATGTGTAAGGAGGGGGGAAGGTTCTAGAGAGGCCAGTGGACGGTCCAGCAGGTGCCAGCGCCCCTCACTTCTTCTCTCCTTGACTTTGCAGAAACATGAAGATCCTCTGGCTTCTGCTGCTAGTTCTGTGCGAGGCTCAGAGCCACGCACCCTCCAAGCCCAACTTTGTCCTCATCATGGCCGATGACCTTGGCATTGGGGATCCTGGCTGCTATGGAAACACGACCCTCAGGTAGGGCCACGGGCCCGGCCACCGTGTGAACACGTGGCTCTGTGTATAGGCCGTTTTTCCCTTGATGGTGAACACGGGTTAGCAGAGCACAGCCCCCACTCTCGCTGGATTATTGAGAACTGGTTCATTATGAAACGACACAGAGAAAGCTCCATTTTCAACGTCATTGTGAATAACGGCTTTTTTTGTTTGTTTTAGGACTCCTAATATTGATAGGTTGGCCAAGGGGGGAGTGAAACTCACTCAGCACCTGGCAGCCTCGCCCCTGTGCACACCGAGCAGGGCAGCCTTTATGACAGGCCGGTACCCCATCCGATCAGGTAACCTCCTGGCTGCGCCCTTAGGCCATACTCCTCTTCCTGGGGGCCTCCTCCCAGCTCCACTCTTAACGGCCCCCCCATCCTAATGGCTGGTTTCCTCTGATTCAGGGATGGCATCTCAGTCTCGAATAGGAGTCTTCCTCTTCTCAGCCTCTTCGGGAGGACTTCCCAACAGTGAGATCACCTTCGCCAGACTCCTGAAGAGCCAAGGTTACACAACCGCTCTGATAGGTGAGGGCCGCTGAGGACAGGGAGGCGGGGACCGGGGCGGGCTGAGCGGGAGAGTGGGGAGGGCAGGAGAGCAGCCTTGTTGGCGTTGGAGTTGCTGATACAGCGGGTGCAACTTTAAATAGGGAAGAAATTATTTCAGTTTTAATTTAAAACACAGTGTTCCTACCTGGGTTATTTGTGTAGATGTGTGTTGTTGTTGTTGTGTGTGTATTTGTATGTGTTATGTCTGTGGACGCGTGGATAAATACATGGAAGATAGGTGCATGGTGGGTGGATGGATAGATAGATACATAGATAATGATAGGCACTCAGAAATATGGATGGACAGATGGATGTAGGAGTAGATGGAAAGACAGATGAGATAGGTTCCTGAGACAAGGGTATATAGACTAATAAATGACATGGATGATGGATGGATGGATGGATGGATGGATGGATGGATGGATGGATGGATGAATGGACAGATGGGACACAGATGAGATAGGTGACTGAGACAAGGGTATATAGACCAATAGATGAGATGGATGATGGATGGATGAATGTTTGGATGGATGGAGAAGTGGAAGGAAAGATGAGATAGGTAATAGAGACAGATATATACATCAATAGATGAGGATGATGGATGGGTGGGGGGATGGATGGATGGATGGATGGATGGATGGATGGATGGATGGGTGGATGATGGATGGATGATGGATGGATGGATGGATGGATGGATGGATGGATGGATGATGGATGGATGGATGATGGATAGATGGATGGATGAGTGGATGGACAGATAGATGAGATAGGTAATAGAGATAAAGATGAGATGGATGATGGATGGATGGATGGACAGATGGGTATGTGGAAAGGTAGATGAGATAAGTAATAGAGACAGACAAGAATAGATAGCTCAATAGACGGAATGGATGATGGNATGAGATAGGTGACTGAGACAAGGGTATATAGACCAATAGATGAGATGGATGATGGATGGATGAATGTTTGGATGGATGGAGAAGTGGAAGGAAAGATGAGATAGGTAATAGNGATAGATAGACATATGAGATAGATAGATGGGACAGATGATCGATAATATAATTACGCACACAGACCATACAAAACCACATATACACATCATGCTACTGATATTTTATTTTTTAAAACAATATGTTTTTATTTATTTTTTTAGAGAGAGAGGAAGGGAGAGGGAGAGAGAGATAGAAACATCGAAGAGAGAGAAACATCATCAATTGGCTGCCTCCTGCAGGCCCCCCCACCCCGGGGATCAAGCCCACAACCCAGGCATGTGCCCTGACCAGGAATCGAACTGGTGACCTCTTAGTTCCTGGGTCGATGCTCAACTGCTGAGCCACAGCAGCTGGACATTGATATTTTCATTTTACTTTTTAATACTAAAATTTTGTCCTAATTTGTCTCAGTTGGGAATCAATTCCCATATTGATTGTATCCCATTGATACGAATGATGCCATCTCCCTCCTTATTCGACAAGGTTGGGTCCATGGAGGTCATGAGATGAATCGTAGGAAATCTCATCGGGGCAGGATGACCAGTCTCCTTCCTCACACATGTAGTCGTAAAACCATCATTTTTGTGTGTGTGAGGCACTCAGTAATTTAGTGGTACAGTTAACATTTTATAAGAAATGTTCATAGGTACTTAAAATAATTGCTGAATTATGCATATGACTTCATCATGCCTCAGGGGCATTCTTTTGAGAAAGAACTCATTTCCACTGTTCCCATTCAGGGCAGAAAATCAAGTCAGGTCCAAGACTTTAATTTTAAGGAAATGTATTTAAAAAAAACATCCATCTCAGAAGAACACGTGGTTGGGTTTTTTTTTTCTATATACTTACATCTCCTGCCCATTAAATACGTTAGGTTTCGGTCTTTCATTTTCATTTTTTTTTCTTCTAATAACGAAATGACTTTGTGTTTTCTGGTAGAACAAATAGTTAATACCCTAGTGTTTGTGGGAAAGAAAGCAAAAAACTGTAGGGTCACTCCTATGTGGAATCTAAAGACAAAGTAAACTGGTGAACAAAATAGATCCAGAGACATAAAAGCATGGAACAGACAGAGGGAGCTCAGAGGAAAGGCGGGGGTGGGGAGAGATAAACCAAAGAATTTGTGTGCATAACCCGTGGACACAGATAGTAGTGTGGGGAAGGCCTGGGGGCGGCGGAGGAGAGTATCCANCATTTGAAAAAAATGAAAGAAAATCTAATTTTTGGACAAAGTTTAAAAACAAACTGTAGGGTCCCGGGAAATAGGACTTTGGTTAATAAATCGTCAGGAAGATCCTGCTCTTCCGTGTGTGGGAGGCAGAAGCTCACGTTCGAGTCGGGGTGTCTTTGGGACTAAACATACCCCCCCGTTTGTCTTCCCAGGGAAGTGGCACCTTGGAACCCACTGTCACAACAAAAGCGACTTCTGTCACCACCCCTCCACGCACGGCTTCGATTATTTCCACGGGATCCCTGTCACCAACCTGAGGGACTGCAAGCCCGGGGAGGGCAGTGTCTTCACCTCGGGCATCCGGCTGCTGGTCTTCATTCCCCTGCAGGTCATCGCCGTCTCCCTGGTCACCCTGGGGGCGCTCAGGTGGCTGGGGCTGCTGCAGGTGCCCTACCTCGTCTTCTGGTTCCTGCTCTTCCTGGCGGCCGCCATCCTCTGCGCCCTGCTGTGCTTCCTGCATTTCTTCCGGCCCCTGAACTGCTTCCTCATGATCGACCGGGACATCAGCCAGCAGCCCCTGAATTACGACAACCTCACGCAGAGACTCACCGCAGATGCCACCCGGTTCATACGCAGGTTGGTATCGCATCCCGTCCCGACGGTGCCTGGGAAGCACGGTGGTTTCCGTGAAGGTGGGACACCTGCCTGGTCCTCCTGGCCCCGTTTCCCCTTCTGTGCTGAATAGAGTTCCCCAGCCAGGCTCTCTGGAGGGGCGTCAGGGAAGGAAAGGAGGACCGCCCACATGCTGGACGGCCGCCTGGCGACGCGGTGGGCTCTCCTCAGGGGGGTAGGCCAGGATCGTGCACGTCGCGTGGGTGTGTGACTGTGCCGAAAAAAGTGCCTGCTTGTGATAAGAGGGGCTTCAGGTGTCACCGTGAGCTTAATCATCCAATGGGAGGTCAGGAGAGGAAAGGTAACTTTGTCGTTTGACTCTAGAGTGTGTGTGTGCATGTGTGCGTGTGTGTGTGTGCATGCACATGTGTGTGCGCGTGTGTGCACGTGTGTGCATGTGTGCATGTGCGTNTGTGTGCGTGTGTGCATGCACATGCGTGTGCGTGTGTGCGTGTGTGCACGTGTGTGCATGTGTGCATGTGCGTGTGCACACGTGCTCATGTGCGCGTGCGTGTGTGCATGTCTGCGCTCGTGTGTGTGCATGTTTGTGCATGTGTGCACGTGTGTGCCCTGCGTGTGCGCGTGTGTGCGTGTGCATGTGTGCATGTGTGTGCATGCGTGTGTGTGTATGTGTGCACGCATGTGTCTTTTGAAAGGCGTTTGAATTCATAGTAACCACCATAGAGACAGGGAAGGGTACAATTCAAGAGCAAAGCAGCCATGACCCGCGGTCTTGTGTTGTCCTTGGAGACCGTCTCAAGGACGCACCCAGCACTTGCATCTGCCGATCCGTAGAGGCTGCCAATGAGTCACTAACCCTGTGAGGCACTATGGGGCCTTCTCTCTCCCTGAATTAAGAAAAAAAAGGGCCACCCTTAGGCGTCCTTTCGTGGTGTGTTTTGAACCGTGCCATGGCATCGCGCAGTAATAGTTCGATATTCATCAGAATGGTGGCAAATGGGCTTATTTCGCTGTTGGGATTTTTTTTTTTTCCCAGGAACGCCGAGACGCCCTTTCTGCTCGTCTTCTCCTGTATTCAGGTGCACACGGCCCTCTTCTCGTCCAAGGATTTTGCCGGGAAAAGCAAACACGGCGCTTACGGGGACGCCGCCGAGGAAATGGACTGGGGTGTGGGTACGTGTGTCTTTATCTTCCATGTGTGCTTAAGATGCGGCTGAGTCT